TGCAATAAACATAGGGGTGCATATGTCTTTTTAAATCAGAGATCTTGTTTTCTTTGGGTAAATTCCTAGGAGTGAATTACTGGGTCAAATGGTATTTCTATTTTTAGTTTTTTGAGGAATCTCCAAACGGCTTTCCACAGCAGTGGCCCCAATTTGCAGTCCCACCAATGGTGTAGGAGGGTTCCTATTTCTCCGCATCATCGCCAGCATTTTTATTTCTTGTCATTTGGATGTTGGCCATCCTAACTGGTGTGAGGTGATATCTCATTGTGGTTTTAATTTGAATATCCCTGATGATTAGCAATGTGGAGCACCTCTTCATGTGCCTGTTGGCCATCTGAATTTCTTCTTTGGAGAAGTGTCTGTTAGATCCTCTGACCATTTTTTAACTGGGTTATCTCTATTTTGGGTTTTAAGGCATGTGAGTTCTTTATATATTTTGGATGTCAATCCCTTGTCAGATATGTCATTTATGAACATATTCTCCCATACAATAGGATACCATTTTTTCTGCTGATGGTGTCCTTTGCTGTACAGAAGCTTTTTAGTTTGATGTAGTCCCATTTGTTCCTTTTTGCTTTTGTTTCCCTTGCCCAAGGCTTTGCATTCAAGAAAAAGTTGCTTATGTTTATATTCAAGAGGTTTTTGCCTATGTTTTCTTCTAAGAGTTTTATGGTTTTTCATGGCTTACATTGTCTTTGATCCATTTCAACTTTACTTTTGTGCATGGAGTTAGACAATAATCCAGTTTCATTCTCTTAACATGTAGCTGTCCAGTTTTGCCAACATGATTTGTTGAAGAGGCTGTCTTTTCCCCATTGTATATCCATGGCTCCTTTACCGTTTATTGATTAGTCATATATATGTCGGTTCATATCTGGGCTCTCTATTCTGTTCCTTTGATCTATGGGTTGGTTCTTTTGCCAGTATCAAATTATTTTGATTACTGTTGCTTTGTAGTAGAGCTTCAAGTCAGAGAACATAATCCCCCCAGCTTTGTTCATCCTTCTCAGGATTGCTTTGGCTACTCGGGGTCTTTTGTGGTTCCATATGAATTTTAGAACTATCTGTTCTAGTTCATTGAAGAATGCTGTTGGTATTTTGATAGGGATTGCATTGAATCTGTAGATTACTTTAGGCAGGATGGCCATTTTGACAATATTAATCCTTTCTGTCCATGAGCCCTGGATGTATATTTCCATTTATTGGTCTTTAATTTCTCTCATGAGTGTCTTGTAGTTTTCAGGTATAGGTCTTTCACCTCCTCAGTTAGGTTTATTCTTAGGTATTTTATACTTTTTGATGCAATTGTAAATGGAGTTGTTTTCCTGATTTATCTTTCTGCTAGTTCATTGTTCATATATAGGAATACAACAGATTTCTGTGTATTAATTTTGTATCCTGCAACTTTGCTGAATTCAGTTATTAGTTCTAGTAGTTTTGGGGTAGATTCTTTAGGGTTTTTTATGTACAGATCATGTTATCTTTAAACAGGGACAGTTTTAGTGCTTCCTTACCAATCTGGATGCATTTTACTTCTTTGTGTTGTCTGATTGGCATGGCTTGGACCTCCAGTACTATGCTGAATAAAAGTGGGGAGAGTAGGTGTCCTTGTCTTGTTCCTGATCTTAGAGGAAAAGCTTTCAGCTTTTTGCTGTTATGTATGATGTTGGCTGTGGTTTTGTCATATATGGCTTTTATTATGTTGATGTGTGTACCCTCTATACCCATTTTGTTGAGTTTTTTACCATGAATGGATGTTTAATTTTGTCAAATGCTTTTCCAGCATCTATGGAGATGATCGTGTGATTTTTGTCCTTCTTTTTGTTCATGTGGTGTCTGATGTTGATGGATTTTTTAATATTGTACCATCCTTGCATCCCTACAATAAATTCCACTTGGTCATGATGCATGATCTTTTTAATGTATATTTTAATTTGGTTTGCTAATATTTTCTTGAGGATTTTTGCATCTATGTTCATCAGGGATATTAGTAAGTTTCTTTTGTTGTGGTGTCTTTGCCTGGTTTTGGTATTAGAGTGATGCTGGCCTCATAGAATTGAGTTTGGAAGTGGTTCCCCCCTCTTCTACTTTTTGGAAAACTTTAAGGAGGATAGTATTGAGTGTTCACTAAATATTTTATAAAATTCAGTAGTGAAGCCATCTGGTCCAGGTATTTGTTCTTAGGTAGTTTTTTGATTACCAGTTCAATTTCATTGTTGGTAATTGGTCTGTTCAGATTCTGTTTCTTCCTGGGTCAGCCTTGGAAGGTTGTCTTTTTATAGAAAGTTGTCCATTTCTTCTAGGTTATTCAGTTTGTTAGCATATAATTTTTCATAGTATTCTCTAATAATTCTTACATTTCATTGGTGTCCATAGTGATTTTTCCTTTCCCATTTCTGATTCTGTTTACGTGTGTAGACTCTTTTTTTTTCTTGTTAAGTCTGGCTCAGGGTTTATCTAGTTTATTTTCTTGAAGAACCAGCTTCTAGCTTCACTGATTCTTTTTATTGTTTTATTTTTCTCAATTTTATTTATTTATGCTCTATCTTTATTATGTCCCTCCTTCTACTGAATCTGGGCCTCATTTGTTCTTTTTTTTCTAGTTTCATTAATTGTGAGTTTAGACTCGCCATTTCAGATTGTTCTTCTCTCTTGAGGTAAGTCTTTATTGCTACATACTTTCCTCAGAACTGCCTTCGTGCATCCCACAGATTTTGGGGTATTGAGTTGTTGTTTTCATTTGTCTCCAAATATTGCTCATTCTCTGTTTTAATTAGATCATTGATCCATTGATTATTTAGGAGCATGTTTTTAACCCTCCATGTTTGTGGGTTTTTTTGTTTTCTTCACATAATTTATTTCTAGTTTCATACCTTTGTGGTCTTAGAAGCTGGTTGGGACAATTTCAATAAGAAAAAAGTCAGCTTTAACTATATCTGACCATCATTTCTGTTCTGTTAGATTTACTTCACATGAATATTTATTATTCCTTTGTTCAGTTCCCAATGTCTGTCTTTCACACTCATTATCTCAAAATGTTCATTCTCACCATTTTTATCCTTGTCTTTGAAACTGTGCCCTGCAGTGTAAGTCACAGACAATTCTTATTTTCCAGTGAAAGCTTCCAAGCCCCTGTCAGCTCCTCCCACAGAAACTTGGTAGATCCAGGTGAAACTAGGCCAGCCCTCTAGAGCATGCACAGAACAGATTTGTTTGTCCAGTCATTAACCTTTTTGAGAAAAGGTGTCCCAAATCAGTATGAAACTAATTACCTAATACATAAAACATGGCCATCACAGTAATCAGAGGATTTGGAAATCACTGTGGGATGGAGAATCCTGAGTAGAAACTGCCCAATCCTCAACTAATCCCATTTCACCATGCTCCTTTAAAAAGCCTCTCTTGCTGATGAGTGGAGAGAGGAATTTGAGCGAGGCTCTTATCTCCTTGCTCAGCTGTGTTACAATAAAGCTCATTCCTTTTGCAAAAGGCAGTGTTTGGCTTTCGGTGCACATCAAGCAGCAGACCCATGTTTGGCTATACCTTGTTTTGATAAGAGCTTCTCAAGTTAGTCCTACACAGATATAAATCCATTATTTGGTAAAATTAAATTCAACTCCTTCTAATCTATCACCTTCAAAGAGGGATGTCAGTTCTGCTACTGCATTTTAGGTTCCAGTCATCCTTCCTTACATTATCTCTTCCTCTGTCCAACCTGTTGCCCTTTCATCTGAGCTTGTCTCCTTATGGGCTGTCTTTCCTATTTTATTGGAGACACACTTTTTTGCATGTCCTTAAGTATGACCACTGTTTTTTTATTTTCATTTTTCCAAGTTCCTTGCATATTCACAGGACAGCTCTTCTTTCAGTGCTTCAAATTATTTTCCTAGCCATTGTTCTGCAGTAGTTTTCCAAGGAGCTCATATTTTTCCTATGTTAAGACTTCCTTCACAAAGAAAGCACAATCAACTCACGTTTAGTACTTGTCAACAAGCAGAGAGGTAGAGACTACCCTTGACCCTACTTTCTAACCAAAGCTGCTAGTGGAATATTATCCCCAAATGATTTGTAAGATCTAAGCAATTCCCAGCACCCAAGAGGCTTCACCTCTGGTTCTACTAGGAAATGAGGGGGACTCCTTGTATTCCCAATTCTGAATCTCTGAAACACTGAACACTAGAATCTTGGAAATCTCACCCTTTGGGCTCCTACTACCTACCCAATCTGACCTTTTCTTGCTATGAAAACCCATTCTGACCTCTCACTTCTTTAAAGGCTTGTGTTTGTTATAGTCAGCGCCATACAACTTAGCACTTTTTCTCTAATTATTTCATGTTTTCTCCAAATTGATATTTGGAGTTTTAGACTCCAAATTTAAGTGACATTTAAGACTTCCTTGTAACAGCATTGACACCAAATAAATAACTGTCAAACTGAGAGGAATTCAGAGAATTTCATAAAGTATTCAAGCATTTTCACTATGGTGAGATTTTGAACAACAAAATAACTGTCAAACTGAGAGGAATTCAGAGAATTTCATAAAGTATTCAAGCATTTTCACTATGGTGAGATTTTGAACAACAGACACAATTTAGGCAGCCATATTCCCATTATTCAGAGTCTAAAAAATAAAAAACTCTCAACATTCCAGTTTCTTTTCTGAAGCTGTTGGAAGCAGTTTACATATAAGTAGAGAAAGGGCTCTATGTAAGGAAAAAAAAGTTTCAACCAGTTCTGTTGGTTAAAAAGTTTGCTAATTTAAGAAGCTAAAATAGCATATAACATAATTAAGAACATATTCCTTTGTGTGGAGATAGTCTGAAAGTCCTATAAGCAAATACTACATCCCAAACCTGCAAGGCTGCAAAATCCAAACATGATTTTGTTCTAATGAGTTCTATTGTATTACATTCATCACCTCACTTCCATTTAATAATTATTAACTTATTTTTAATATAACTCACATGTCAAAAATAAGAGTAAAACAATCTACTTACCCCACCCATCGTAATTCCATGAATAAGTGCAACATATGGTTTCTGGCAAGAATCTAAAAGAAACAGAGCTGTAATTAGTTACAATCTTTAATATACATTCACTTTTCCAAAAATTATATATAACATGAACTCTGAGTATTTTCCCTAGGAAATTTTGCAAGAAATATCAAAGTAGACTGAACATATGGCTTATACAATATGCTCTTTTAAAAATATTAATTCATACACTATCCTGATCATCTATTATAATTGAATAACTTATCATTTCAATTTGAAACAAATGAAAGCCTTATATAACTCAGCTACTGAGAAATATAATTAAGATTGGCCTTGTAAGTCATTGATATTTATGTTCACAGTTGTATTTTAAAGAATATAATTTGTTTACTATACATCTAAGTAAGTATCTGGATACAGATAGAAGTGCAACATATAGGAAAAAGCATGGACTGGGAGTTTGAAGCCAGTCTCAGCTTCATCATTAACTGGCAATTTAACTATATTCTATATATAGTGGTTTTGTGTGTGTGTGTGATAGCGACTCTATATATATATACACACTGCCATATTCAACTCAACATATATACTGCCATTAAGTATATATAGATTTATACATATATATATTCAAGTGATATGTATACATGCATATTACACATGTGTATCACATATTCAATATACAGATAAGTTTCCTCATCTATTAACTTACAAGATTTAATATATGGCCTGAGAAGTCCCTTCCAGCTCAAAAGTTATGTAAACTTTCCCTCTGTTTCTTCCCCTTTTTTGTTTTTCCTCTGAGAGGGGGAGGTACCCAAAACTAACAGAAACATAAATCACTGAGCCTGTTACAACTTGCTGCCAATATTCCTTCCTTAACAAATACTAATATAAAACTGCAGTTTTGATCCATCTACCAATCCTGTAAATACTCCCAATTTGCCAAATGAGCCACCAAGTACAATTCTAATTTCATATTCACAAAGATTTCCACAGCCCTCAATTTTGAGCTGCAATTCTCTAGAAACTATGGAAAAACCTTCTCTATTGTTTGGGATGGAGATACATACGCATGCACAAGACACACTTCAGCTATAGATATAATTGTTGTTTTTGAAGTCTACATGAATAAACAAAGACATGCCACATTCAGATGGGAAGACTCAGTATTAAAGATGTCAGTTCACCCCAAACTATAAGTCATTGTCATTATAATAAGAAATCTTCTGTGGAATCAGACAAAATAATTCTAAAATTCATATGGGAGATCAAAAGTCCAACAGTAGCCAACACAATTCTAAAAGAAAACAAGGCAACTTTCCTAACAGATAGAGATAAATGTTGAAGCTATAAAAACTTTGACATTATAGCTTCATCATAAGTACAAATAGCCCAAAAGTAGATTTTGCCATAAATAAGAATTTAATATATGACAGAGGTATTAAAATCATTGAAGAAGGCATGGACTTTTCAAAAAAGGCATTGCAAAATCTGGCTTTATAGCTAGAAAGCAAAAGATGATGTCACATGCAAAAAAACTTCAAGTACATTAAAGACTTAAGAGTATAAAGAAACTAAGTATTCAAACTATTGAAAGAAAATAAGAGAACACTTTAATAACCTCAGTGTTATTCTTAATTAATGCAAAAAAGCAGGAATCATAAAGGAAAAGAATGTTATGCTATATTTCAAAAAATAAAAAGTTATATATACTACAAGATAACTTTCAGTAGTAGGCTGAAAGAAGTTACTGGTAATATGTGTAATCTATAAAAGCAAAGAATCCAGAATACATAAGGACCTACAAAATCAGTGAGAAAAAGACAAAGAATCCAACAGAAAAGACAAAGGATGAAACTGAAAAGAAAATCTAAGTGATTAATATAAGAAATGTCTTCCACCTCACATGTTCAATGAAATACAAATTAAAGCCATAAGATATTAAACTTTCCAAGTTTAATAATTAGAAAAATGATAGAAAGTGATGTAGAAAATAGTCTTATACTTTAAAGAATATGAAAACAAACTGGAAGTGTATAAACTTTATGACCCATCCATTCTGCTTCTACTATTCTAGAGAAACTTCTGCACATGGGCACTGAGAGGGGATATATGAGTGCAACTATGTGTTTCAGTAAAAATGTTCAAGTCTAACATATCCATTAATATAGACAAGTAATGTGGAGTACATTCATAATAATAAATATTACAGAATAGTTACATTCCATGTTACTAAAAAGTAGTTATAAGATGGTATATACAGAAACAGTATTTATGTAAATTCTCAAAACACAATGTAACACTTTCTGTTCAGAAATAAATATATAGTAAAATAAAGAGTATGACCCAGTAGGATACACTAAACATTAATGACAATGGTTGCTTCTGGGGACAGAAAGTAACAGCACTGAGGAAAGCAACAAAGTGGACTGAACTATAATTTGAAAACTTGTAGTATTATATTTTATGTAAGGTCTAAAACATCCAATAAAATAATTGATGTTCATTCTGGACTGGTAGGTACGTAAGCATTTATTATATTACGTACAAACTGGTGGTTGTCATAGGGGAGGGTGGTAGTGGGATGGGTGAAATAGGTGAAAGAGGTACAAACATCCAATTATAAAATGAATAAGTCATGGGGATGAAAGTACAGCATAGGGAATACAGTCAATAATATTATAATATCTTTCTATGTTGATAGTAACTTGACTTATCATGGTAAACATGTATATAATTGTCAAATCACTATGCTGTACACCTGAAACCAATATAATATTGCCTATCAACTATATTTTGGCTTAAAAATATAAAAATAAGAATACTGATTATGTTTTTAACAATTCATACTGTGCACTTTATTTTTTTATTCCATTTTCAAAGATCTCAGCAGAGCACACATACCAACAGCATTGTTCAGCATATATTCTTCTCTGAAGAAATCTTGAACTATCTTCTTGTTTGCCTTTCCAGCTTCTGAGACGGCTATCAAAAAAAAAAAAAAAA